AGGTGGGAAGATGTAGAACTTGTGATTCCATCTACCTGCCTTGGGCCTCCACTCGCAGCAACCTCCTCGTGGTGAGGCCTGGGCAATCGGTATTATCTTCGGTGAAGTACTGTAAACCGAAGACAATATCGAGCTAATGGCTGCAAACTTCGAATCTATCTCATAAAACCACGTTCTATATTACATCGAACTAGGATTATTTTAGAAATCGATATGAGATTCAAAGTGTAAAAATGTCTAGTACTTTGAATGTTTTAGAAAATTATTCGAGATAAAGATGTATGGAACTACTGAAAATTACTTTAGATTCCTTTTCCTTATTCTGTAAATTCATTGATTGGAATATGAATGCTAATGGAAGTATGAATATTTTCACAGGACAATGATATAAATGGAACTTTAACACTTTTTTAAGTGTTACAGTGATATTTCGTTGGCCTCCGTATTAGCGCACTGCGCCGAACGCGGATAGCATGATGTAGTCAGAAGGGAGCAATTCAATCGAAGAGACGTATTGTACCGTAGCGCATCGTATTGTATTTCAAACTTTTATATCATTATAATTTATATGTATATATGTATATTCCAATAAACATACGTCAGGTAATATAAGCTTCCTTTCATTGAGTTGTCTTAAATATAACTGCATAAATATTGTACAATCCTATACTAATTATAGTGGTCTGGTTCAACAGGTTACTACAGAAACTAACTAGTCCCTACGTCTTTTAAACTTGGGCTGTAGTAGTATCTGCAGAAACTGCCATGGTTGTTGGGGTTACTATATAATTTGCTCACGGAAGCACGCACAAGTGTCAGTCAGATTTCGACAGTTGCACGAGCAACATTAGACCGAGTTCGAGAGTTGTACGAGCAACAGCGATAAAAGATCACGTTTCAAAACTCTTGCGCATGCTCCTGGGGTGCTATGATCCCACTTTTGCACACACACGGGGTTTCTTACCACATCGGACGCACAGTTTCATCTATTTAGAAGCATGTGACAATTTCAGAAAGAATTGCTACTTCTTAAAGGATTGCATACAAATAATCAAATTACAAAACGGTTTCAGTTAAATATGGCGTGCAAAATCACTAACGGTGATTTATTACAGTGATCGCCGAATCACGATCACGGTCGTGAATTAACTTCATTTATTTTTTTAATTTCATTCGATTTTTTTATCTTGAGTGAATTTGCTCACTGCGATCGTAAGTCCTTGATCTTTAAACAGAAAAACGTATTCAATATGATTTTACGATGAATTACATTACTATTTGTGTTTGTCAAAATCAGTAGAAAAAACAAGAAATTCTAAAAGAATGACTTGCTAGGTAACATGTAGATTATAATATATAATCATTAATTTATTCATTATTCTTCATTATTTCTAATTATTCCTTCACTTTATACGATATAACTCGAATTTCTGTTTTGATGTCGTTAATATAAAATATACAGATTATGTGTCGCGTGTAAAGAACTGTTAGGTTTCTCCACCAATCAGAAACGATCACGAGAAATGACGAATCAATGTGAAATATCACAGTGATTGGGAACGAACGTGATCGAATCACGAGTGATTCACAAGTAGCAGTTCACGCCATTTCTACCCACGACCCCCGGCGCCGAAAGCCGAGACTCTACACTCTGCTCCACGGAGCCCTAATTATCCAATGATGTTATATGGTTAATAAATAAACTGTCCGGATAAGGGTTAATACTCTACTAGCAAATGTATTTATATAATGTTAAATGTTTCTATTCAGAGATTCAATGTTTCTTCGTGTAATTTAATGGCGCCGGTTATCGGTGACAACCGTGTCAGTCACCGTGTTAAATACTAAAATTTTCATTCGTTTCAGGACTGCGGAAAAACAGCATCTGAAAATGCCTCCGCGAAATGTCACGGAATACCATCGCAAACGAGTACATTTTCACTTTGACTCTCTCTCTTTCTCTCTCTCTCTCTCTCTGGGGTTGTGCATTAAGCTCGACGTCGATTGTTCAACGTGGCGCACAGACGCGGTCCGGTGTATCCGGCCGAAATGAAAGAAAAGCCGCCTGGTGAAAGAGACTGCGTGTGGAAAAATCGGGGCACGCACCCGTTCCCTCCGACAATGGATCGCTTAGCGGGCGTAAAAAGAGAAAGAGAGAGAGAGTCGTCAGCTGTCGCGATGGTGCGGACGACGTTTCCACGAACGTGATTGACAGTTTTATAGGGAACACCGAAGACCGTTTTCGGATTTACGGCCTGGACCCGTTTCATCGTCGAACCAGGCGGTGGGCACAAGGGCGGGGGGGAGGGTCAAGCGTTACGCGACGTTTGATGCTAATCGAAGCGTGACGCTGCGACAGAAGGCGGTTCCGGGACGTTCACGATGCTCGGTACATTGAAATCGAGGAAGAAATGCATGGAGTTCGCGGAGGGGGGGGGGAGGTACCGTGAAAAGATTTGTATCGCGACGTATAGGATTCCATTCGAAGGAGTACCTGTATTACGGCACCCCTTTGTGTACTGCGACAGAAAAAGGGTAGATGGATGCTGGTAACAATATGTATATTGCTTCATCACCTTCCACATTTGCAAAATTGAAGCATGTTGCGTTACTAATAGACTGTAGATTTTATTCGTTTATCGTACATGTTGATATGCAAAATAGAACACAGTAAAAATTTGCGAAAAAAATGAATAAAAATCCAGCTTTAGTTTGGACCGAATGATACCTTCAACCATTTGACTATGACGCATTCTATCATATCAGTTAGTAAAGCATTTAATTGTAGATTATATCAGTTCAGTAAAACAGTGAACGTGTTGTACCGAGCAAAATTTACTGAGCTTATACCTATACCTTTCCTATTTATTTAATAGACATGTCAGAGCATATACAATCGCGCTCCGTCAATAATCCACAACCTTCTGGAGGTCTTTCGCAGTCAAAGGACTAATAAAGGAAACGAATCTTTGATGTAATTTCAAAGTAGTAAATGAATTCATAAACATCTAAATTTGCACAAAAATTCGCAGTCTGGTTATTAATATGAGTACGACAATGATTAGACTGCAATGTACCTAGCTGGTAGCAAATGTGTTAATTATACTATTTGTAAACGGCTGTTTACTGTGAAACAAAAAAACACGTATTTATACGGGACCAGACGATTAAGCGTTAAAATATCTTAAACTTGTAATATCGCAGGAGTTGTTTAATTCAAACCAAACTTTACCTACTCATTTGTCTGACGCTAACAGGATTAATTAAGAGGAAGCAATGAACTTTTCGTACAGTCGTAACAAACTGAAAAGGGAAACTTAATTAACACATTTGCTGCCGGTTAGTTTGTGAATCATTTAATTTGCTTTCTACCTTAATTCGTTGCCAGTCAGTTACTAAGTAATCTATGCTTTGTAACAGTTTATCTAACTAACTGAATAACTGAATGTATATCATAAAGTTAAGTCGCCTACCACCATATACAATATTTATAAGTTAGTTATTCAACGTAGATCAGATGTGATAGAATATGCTAACACTATTACTAGTTTCCCAAGTAACTTTCACCAGTGGTCGGCTATTTTCTTAAAAACTTAACCAAACACAGTGTCTACTATTTATTTACAAAAAATTCAATGTTGGGGATCCAGTCGGATATACTCGGAATACCAGTCGATAATATTGAATATCAACAAAGAGTCAATAATCGCGAGGACTCTGTACCGCCGAAAAGGCGTTTCCAACCGAGGCGACATGTTTGCACCGCGAGTGTCATTTGTTTCTACTCGGCGTCCAAGAGGTAGGCAGTCTTCGCGCCCACATCATAGTATTAACACACTTGTTGTAAACCTTCGTGGTCCCAAATATATGTTAACCTTAATAGCGATTAACAATTGCGTGTATTATTTAATACCCCTCGCTTGAGACTCAACATTCAATAACTTGATTATTTGAAAAGTACCTGTTGACACACACTTGATCTCAGGTGTCGTATAATCAGCAACTAACAGTTGAGGAGCCCAGTGCAAGAGGGAGTTATGCCGCAACAATAGAGCTGTGAGATATTAAGGCTTTTTATGAAAAATAGTATACATCAAAATACAGGCAGGAATTTTACCACGTAGTTACAAATTATGGGCTAATAACTAGACACCAAGAGGTGACACAATTAATAAAAAAACTCATTTGTCGACGTGACATAGATCCCTCTTACACTGGCCCCTTCAGTTGGTGCTCATATCACGTCAATGTGGCGTTATTGGTCGTCATAGTGTAAACAATATATGGAATAACAGAATTGATCATAAGGAAATCAGCTTATGCGTTAATAATTAATTTGGAACACTCACCTCGCAGTTCGAGTGACTGATGTTGCTCAGATTCAGCCTGAACACCTTGTCCCTGGAACAGAAAAAAAAACAGTAGGTGTTACACACGGGGCGCAGCAACAATTCGCATTAAACGCCGTGGATGGCCGAAAGCTCGAGATGTAAATTTTCATTCCGTACGTCTGCGAAATACATCGTTCCGGCTGACTTGACCCCTTGCCTTATCTACCCAACGGTTATGTATGGTTCTGCACAAGCGTGGCACTTTGTTTACGGCGTTCGGGGCAACGGGAACTGCTCGCGAACGCCACGGAATTTCTATGAGCATCGAAGGGGAAGGGAATCTTTATCCCACCCCGCTCCCGTTCACCAGTTCTCGGCTCTCTTTCCCCGATGGAACGCGAACTTTCTTCGTTTTTCGAACCGCTGCGCCGTCCGCTTTTATTGGGATTTCCTGCTTCGAGGCACGATCCCTACATCTTGTTCGAGGCTAACCATCAATTAGAATGTACAAGGTGATTCATAAAAAGTGGATTTGCCTTGCCCTCAAAACTCGTAGAAAGATTAAAAAATCATTCGTAAAGAAATATTTTTTTCATCAAAGGCATTGTGAATGTCCTTTGTATGTACAGGATGTTAATAAAAATGTTGGACACTTTCACAGGATGAAGTCTACATACCATACTGAGACGAAAATCAAGAATTATGAAATTACGTTCGAGGCTTTGTTTCCGAGTTACTAATTGGCTGAAAATACGGCTGAAGTACGCGTGAAATACGTCTGACGCGATGGGTTATACTACTTGAACAGATTCGCAGCTGATACACGGGTTCGATCAATGACCTAGTGAAATTAATGAATAGACTGCGGATCGAAACAAAACGCAATACAGTAAGAATTCTCACCAATTACACTTTACTTTAAACTTAACAAAACCGAGGACAAAGGATACAAATCTCAGACATCAGTTCAACAAATTAATCCACAAAAATTTGAATTTAGATAAAGTACCGCAATCTACTAATGAATAAAATAGAATGCGATGAATGAAACCAGCTGGTGAAACAGTTGAAGAACTCGCCTCTCAAGTAGAATAACCTGTCGCGTCAGCCGTATTTCACGCGTGTTTCGCCTCTATTTTAATTCCTCTATTTCGAAAACGAAGACTTGGACGGAATTTCGTCACACTTAATTTTCGTTTTACAACTAGTTTGACATGTAAAATCTACCATATAAAATTGTTCCACATTTTATGTACACCCTGTAAATTGATAAACTTTTAAATCAGAGTCAACGACTATAATTTACATTATTAGAATTTATGATTAATATTCTTTAGATGGGGATGCACTCAACTGAAGTTATACGCAGTTTATCCAAAACGTATTGTCATTTCTGAAGGTAGCGGGGAGAAAAATTACTTTATACACCTATCAAGGCTGTAATCTGTTATGCAGAAACTAAAGTGATGGAACATGTAAAATCACGGCGATATTCGACGAAGTAATTATGTAATTTCTATAAAATAAATACTGACTTTCGGTGCATATTATTGTGTGTATCTTTTCCTCACTTTTACAGACGACAATATTTTCTTAAATAAATTATGTGAAAAATTTCTCAGTTGAATGCACCCTAATGTAGAATACACGAATCAAAGTTTATACCAAAGCGAATTGTAATTACTAATTTTAACTACAACATTCATTAAATACGTTGAATATGTTCTACGTACAGGGTAGCTGAATTATTCTGTAACTGTAGACACGAACCCGGCAGTAATATGAAAATGAAACTAACAAAAAGCTCCATACACGTATTTCTCGATCGAACGATGCGTCTCGAAGCGATTTCGCACGGTTGTAACCGGAATCCAGAACAATCGAACGTCGAAACAGATTCAATTACACTCCGATGCCCGGGTATCTTTAATTTTCATTCGGCCGTCCAGATCTACCGGGCAAACGAATTCCGTGGATTTCCCGCAGCAAGGAAGCCCCCTCGACGGCTGACCCAGAAACAGTAGACTGAAACGAGCTGAGATTGTTTCCGAGTCAGAGCTCGACTCGGGGAAAAATGATAGACGGCGTACTAATTGGCGCAAAATCCGTAGATACGACGCTCGAGGAAGCTGATCCGCGATTTCTTCATACTAATTCAAACGTTCATACTCGCCGAGAGGCAAACTGTAAAGTTCGAGGCGAACGATCGAAGTGGCACGCGAATCGGGGGTGGGGGGAGGGGGCAATCATGGCGGCTGGTTTATCGAATTTACTTATTTTTCAAGCGTTTCGCCTACATCGACGCGTATAATTTTTTTCCGATAACCATTCGTCATTGGCCTTCAATAGAAATATACTCAATCGGATGGAATGCGAATAAGGGTGTGGGTAAAAGCGTGAAAGAAGGAAAGAAACCCCGAAGAACGAAGAGGAGATCACGAAGAGGAAGAGAAAAGACGCGGGAAACAAACCGGTTCCTTCATTCTTCGTGCTTTCCCTTCTCATTCATCCTGCGCACGTTGCCGTGAAAAAGTAAATAGCGACGTGGAAAAACAAATCCGTACTTTGGAATCCAGCCGCGTTCAGTTAGTTCTCGCTCCGAAGAACTTTTCCGGGGGGCTGAGCAGGTGGATGGAGGTGAGGGCGGAGCAGGAGCTTTGTACGTGCTGGCGCGTCGTTCCAGGGGGCCGAGCGGAAAGAAAAAATTTTGTACGAAAGCAATTTGCAGGGGTGATCGATGGCGGGCGGGTACGCGACCGTAAAGTCATCCTGTTTTCGATTTAAAAAAAACCGCCCAGTCAGCGTCGAAACGGTGGCCTCGATTCGAAGAGAAATTCTACATCTTCGGTCATCGTATTCGCGAATCTTTATGTACTGTCTAATGTTTCTTTCGGCAATAGCGTAAACGCACCAATGAATGAACATTTACGAAATATTGTAACTATTCAAGTCGAATCTTAAATGATAATATTAATGAATATTTGTCACATGAAAATTAGACTTTTTAATATTTATAAGTTCATGTAAAATATAGATTCGAATTTGAAAAATTGCAAAAATGTAATTGATTAAACTAAAAAGCCGAGGAATAGATTTTATCAGTGAGTGAACAATGAACCTTTCTAACTAATGCAATGGCGCGGAAATTGTTTGAATGTAAAACAAGAAATTGAATAATATCAATATTTAATCATTTGCTTATTTTAAAAACTTAATTTACTCGTTTTTATATATAATGTTCATTGACTGGTACGTGTTTGTTTACTGGTGCATGTTGCAATAAATTATAAGTGATATTTCTGAACATTTTTTTTAATTTGAAAGAATTAGGGGGTATTTATGGGAAAACATTCATGATCGTGTTACGAAGAAGTCTGCACATATTCTTGAACAATTTCTGCATTTTTGTACTTCCTTGAAAGAAAAGATTTCGCTGATATTAGCAGACGTTTTATAGACTTCACATTAGAGACAGACAAAATCATTACCTACAGAAAGAGTTTGAAGTAACGACCAAAAGATAAAAAAGTACTTCACTAGTTGTATTTGATTAACGACGACGAGTAGACACTTGACAAACAATTTAGTTTAATCTCATTAACTGATAATGGTCAGGTTGACAGTTTTAGATACTTCTGCTTTTGACTATATGTACAAATATTATTTAAATAAAATACTTGTCATCATACAGATCGCTAAGTCTTCACACGTTGAATGTCGCAGTGAAAAAGGTCGTGCGTAGTCAGACATACTTGAAGAATATCATCGTAACCAGTCACACTTTATTTCGTTTGTTAAGTCATAAATCATCGAAAATATATGAATTTACGTAATAGAAGCTGTTGGTGTTGTTTTAAATTACACTGCGATATTAATTGTACGCAAAAATTTTGTAACGGTACGTAAATACTCCAGGCAAGGCATGTGTCACCCATATTTGGGTGACGTGGCAGTCAAAGTCTTAAAAGACTTATCTTGGAACAAACCTCCCCAAAGCAGTACCGTGACGCCATCACTTTGAATACAGTCAAAAAGAAGCTCCATTAAATCAGAAAAACATATCCGTCTGACTTTACAGTCGCGCACAACAGCCCTGCGACGAAATGCATTATCCAACGGGTTTGGAACCAACCCCCATTTATCCCCCTTAAATTTTCAATGGCGTAACGACAGGGTACCCGGAAAAAGGAATCGTTGCTATTTACACCGGGCGTCTCCGCAGGGATAAATGTATTCGCGGCGCGGTTTAACATAATGGAGCGATTTTAATAATTCCATCCATGAATCATCGGCGAGGTACGATTAAGTTCGGCGAGCCGCAGGCTTCGCCGCGAAATCTCGGTTTCTTCGGTGGAATCGATTCGACTGTCGACGAGAGAGACCGAAAGAGAGAGAGAGAGAGAGAAAGCCTGGCGAATCGAGAAATATGAAATGTAATTTGTATTTCACGGTGCGGTTTGAACGCAGCCGATTATCGTCCTTTAATTGAGAATAAAACGTGTCACGTTTTCAATTACACAGGAGCTCGGCTGGACCGGTTTTTCGCCGGTTTCACGCGAGACTTAACACGATTGATTCTCTGTTATTAATCCTTCACCGTTCAGGCAGCACTTTTTTTTTTATTACAGATTTGCGATTTCTATGGCCTATCGTGATACAGTTATTACTAGGTTGCTGATTTTATAAATTTCATTGCACTCACCACTGTCTAGAGCAGTGGTTCCCAACCTTTTCCAAAGTGCGGAACCCTATTGCGAGTAAAAATTTTTGGGGGAAACTTACCTAAATTAAAATGAAATAGGTTTGTTGTCTATTATATATTTTATATTATATCGTTTATTAATACGATTAATAAAATAAATCTGAAACATCTGTCACACACAAACAGTAATTTTACGTACGATAGTAATAGCAATACTTTGCAATTTATCCAATTACATACCGCAGTACATTTTCGAAATGCTTACGGAACATTAGTGCTCCGCGGAACACAGGTTGGGAACCACTGGTCTAGAGTTAGGTACAGTTGAAAGTTCGATAAAGTTTAAGGAGGTTTTTATTTCATATGGA